GAGAGACAGAGAGCATGAGAGGGAGGAGGGTCAGAGGGAGAAGCAGACTCCCTGCTGAGCAGGGAGCCCGATGCGGGACTCGATCCCGGGACTCCAGAATCATGACCTGAGCCGAAGGCAGTCGCTCAACCAACTGAGCCACCCAGGCGCCCAAGTTTTAATTATAATGTCTAAAATACTTTGATTTCTTTTTTATTTATGAAATTTTTAAACTGTTAAATGTTAACATTTAACATTTATGTTAAATTGCATAACTTTTGAATGATGGTAGCCTGATTAATGAACTTCATTTTCTAAATAACAGCTTTTCTATTTCCTTCATTCTTACTATAGGTTCAGTGGTCGCCTCACAATGAGACTATTTTGGCTTCCAGTGGTACTGATCGCAGACTGAATGTCTGGGATTTAAGGTAAGTCTTGTATTGGTTACTCTTTGTGGAGTTACTTTATTTATAGTTTTCCAAATTAGTTAATTGGGATAAATCTCTTTTAACTTTTTAAAAATCTTTTTGTGCTAGTAAAATTGGAGAGGAACAATCCCCAGAAGATGCAGAAGATGGGCCACCAGAATTGTTGGTATGTTCTGCACATTGAGTAGTATTAAAATAGTCCATTGTTTATTGCCCTCTGCTTTTCATATCTTTGTTTTCCTCCCTCTTCCAGTTTATTCATGGTGGTCACACTGCCAAGATATCTGATTTCTCCTGGAATCCCAATGAACCTTGGGTGATTTGTTCTGTATCAGAAGACAATATCATGCAAGTGTGGCAAATGGTAAGTGTTGTCATTTATTCGGGGAACATCAGGTAAATGAGATGTAGTATCACTTCATATTTATAGACTTTATGAAAACAACTGGTATCTCTGGTTAGTTTACTCCCAAGTGTGACTTTAGCACTTGCTGCACCTTATCATTTTCAAGTGCCTGCTCATTACCTTTATCTGCTTATCCCACTAGTATCTCAAACTTCTCTCTCCCTTCTCCTTATTCCCGTTTTCTCCTGATTTTCCTGTTTCCTATATGGCTCCAGTGTCATCACACCCCCCCACCCAGCTCAACCAACTTGAAAACTCAAGAGTTCTTCATTATCTATTCACCTCTAGGTCTGGTTTACTTACCAGATTTTACATTGTCTATCTGCATTGTTTCTCATATCTGTACTAATCTTACTGATACACACTTATGTACCCAGCTTTCCTGTTTCTACTCCACACCCTGGTTTTTGGTCAGGTTCTCATTACTACTTGCTAGGCTATTGCAGTAGCCTCCTTGCTGGCCTCCTGCTTTCCCTGCTTTACTAGCAGTTGAATCTTTGGGAATGGTCATTCCTTTGAAGTGGCTTGTAGCTTTGAACTTGCCTAGCACAGTTTCTACCACAATGGCACAGCATCAGATACTGCCATTTCTCCACGAAATATTACTAGATTCCAAAAACATCGCTATTCTTTATACCCCAGTTGGGAAGTAATTACCCTTTTTTGAATTTCCAGAGTGCTTGGGATTTATAATAAAGATAACTGTAATGTCTAATATATAGCAATATAAGAAACACTTGCCTTTTGGAGATGGATGGTGGTGACAGTTGCACACAAGGTGAATGGACTTAATGCCACTGAACTGTATACTTAAAAATGGTTAAGATGGCAATTTTATGTGTATTTTACCACAGATTTTTTTTAATTGCATTAACTTTTGAATGATGGTAGCCTGATTAATGAAAAGATTTGGAAAAAAGATTTTGTTGTTTTAGGATAGATCTAGGGGCAGGAATAAGCTCCAGGGGAAAGGTTTTGGCTCAACATGAGGAAAAA